AAATTAATTCATATTGTTTCAAATTTAATTAACTTAATAATTTAATCTATTTTAAAATAATATTAATATAATAAATTTAATTAATATACAGTTTTGTATAGTTTGTATAAGTTAAAATTAATTTGTATAGATTCAAATATATTTGATATAATAAACTTTATTTTATTTTAAAATTACATACCGAATTTAATTAATATAAAGTTTTAAAAAGTTTGCATACAAACAACTTTTCCTGATGATCTCTTGTACCAACTTTTCTAAAAAATCTGATTTACAAAAACTATATAGTTACTTTGTTTGAATACTACAAAACTCCACTAGTAGTGGCTAAAATTAGTGACTATTTACTGCATATTGATATAAGTAAAATAGATTTGAAAAGAGTCACTCTTAAAAGCAAAATCACCTGGCAGAAAACTTTGGTACTACCAAGCAAAGAAGTAGCAGACAGGCTCTGAAGCTTTGTTAAATACTATAGAAGCCTTGGCAGAAGTAGTTATTTAGTTAGACATAGTACTCTGTATAGCATAACTCTTATTATCTTTTTCAAGTTGGCTACTTCCTATTCTTCTCTTTATTTCAAAGTTTTTTTAATAAAAAGTAGGCAATTTGGTATGCCCTTTTTAATTAATCAACAGTGCTTACACAATCCAAATCAGAAAACCAAAAGTCATGTATTAATCTTTACATATGTTCAAAATAAACAATATATATATTGATTATATACAGTATGACAGTGTTGTCCACTGGAACGTTCTAGTGAGAATTACTGGAACTGGAAGATCACTGGAACTAACTGGAAGAAAAAAGTAATATATTACCTTCCAGTGGTATGTTGTCACTGGACCCTTCCAGTGAGGATTTTTAAGCCACTAGAAGGCGTTCCAGTAACTTCCAGTGGCTTCCAGTGACTTCTCGTAGTATTTTTTTGATTACAACAAAAATTACTATATCCGGGTTTGTATCTATCTCTGCAAACAATTCGGGTATTACAAAACTTTATTTTTTCTTTACGGCATTGCGATTGTTGATGGTAACGATTTTGGAACTTGTGATTATATGCATACGTACATAACAGTCATCATACGTTTAAATCATAAATAAGAGAATTCAAAAATATTTTTTTTTAATACGTATTTATTTTAACACAAATTAATTCTAAGCAGATTCGCTTCGGAAATATAATATGTTTAACTTGAAATTTTATTATTTAATGTAATTTTTGATCTCAGAAATTTCAATGAAATACAATAACTCAATTGCAAGAAATCCGTTACGCCCTCTTTGTTCTAAATAATCAATAACATAATACAATGAAATACTTACCTTCTAATTGGCGTTTAATAATACAACCTTCATGATACTAATTTTAACATTTGGGCGTTCTCAAGCACCTCACCTGCCTCAATTAATTCAATAAAAAATCTGATTGGCTAGTTTGATTAAACAGACCAATCAAATCCGTTATTGAGTCCATTGAGGTATGAGGAGGTGCTTGAGAACGCCCTTTATCACATAAATCAACTGTTACATTTTACCTAAAATATTCTTGCAAAATTAGGTATTGTTTCAAGAGCTGCTCGTGAATCTGAGCAGCTACTTGGAAAGGCACTATTAAACCAAATTCGCCTTGTGATTATGATGCTAGTTGTATAAAGTGGTATATTGGCGCAATTCTAATATAATACCCTTGATTAACAGTAGAAGTGTAGTAAATAGATTCAAAAAAAAAAATATGTAAAAAATGTAAGTATATATTTTAATGAAAAATAAAAACCTGATCTCGCAATGATCTTTCTCCAGTTATATGTAATAAACACTCAAGTCTTGCTTGTGCTATGCTTATGAGAAACGTAATAGCATTCAATCAATGCGAATCAACGGCTGAACTTAACATATATTATGCAATACTCTTCCATTTAGTCATTGCATTATGTGCAATAATATGATCTTAAGTGACATATTGCTAGAAAAAGGTATTGAGCTATAATTATAGAAAACACCTTCTCTTCAATGTAGTCAATTCGTTTGAAAGATACAATTGTATGTATTGTATGTATTGCATGTGAAAAAATGAACAATCTTTGGGGAATTAGAATAATCTAATGAGTGATAAAGTATATAATCCCAAGGAATGTTGAATCCCACTTCTATTTCCTTTATAATAAACTTAGTATATTCCCCATGTATCATTAATAAATTAATACATAAAATTTGTAATACACAAACATCCCTACCTGAAAAACTAGAATTTCTTATCGTCATACCAATTCATATTCAAAAGTAATCTGGTCTTCTTGAGTCATTTTATAAATGATTCTAACGACTCGTCGACTAGTATTAATTTTGGTATATTCTAATTAAATTTTGGATAAAATGGCTCAAAGACATACTGGCGGTCCCAAGAAGCATAGATTTACGAATGATATTATTGTACTTGGTGTGAAAGCAACAAATAAATATAATACGAATTGTATATGTAAAGCTTGCGATGAAGTTCTTGGCCGGGAAAAAACTTTAGAAGACCCAATCACCAATAAGAAAAACGTTGTTCGAAATCACTTAAAAACATGTGAATATTTTCGTACCAAGCTTGGCTCTCAAGAGGCAGTAGATGAATATTGTAACAGGACGGACAATGAAGAAGATAAGGTCCAAAAAACTTCGAAAAAGCATAGAAGTGCTGATACATCAGGTGTGTGTGTGTGTGTGTGTGTGTAAATATCTAAAATTAGCATTTAAATATTTTTTTTTAAAAAAATAGATGATAACAATGATGATAATTGCACAAGTGACATATCTGGTGTTTCTTCAACAATGCCTACATCAATTAAAAAGCCAAGAAGAAAAGTATCAAATTCTAGAACTATGTCTAACTTTATTGCCAAAGATATTAGCATAAAAGAAAGACCAAAATTTGAACGATTGTTGCTTCGGATGACGATATCAAATGGATGGGCGTTTAGTTGGATAAGAAATCCAGAAACCAAGGAACTTTTTGAATTCTTAAACCCAGCGCTTACTCTTCCTAGTCAGCATTTATTATCCAATCGTATCCTTGAGGCTGAAAGAACAAATTATATTAAATCACGAGAGCAAAAAATAAAGGAAGATAAAATTGGAGTTACCTTGGCATTTGATGGGTGGAAAAATATTTTAAAACAACATATCTTTGGTTCGTTATTTATTTTATCAACTGGGGAGGTTCAAGTTTGGGAAGCAATTGATACTAGTTCAGAGAGAGAGAGAATGATCGACGTTATTCCTAAGATTGAAAATATGATTCAAGATGCGTCGAGTTTGGTGGCAAAATTATTGGCAATTGTCTCTGATAGTGTGCCAGCATATTCTGCTGCGAGGTAATTAGATAAAAAAATAAAGTAAAATAAATTAAAAAAAAAATAAATATTAAATAAAAAAATAAATAAATAAATTTCAATAAAATAATATATGGGCTGCCATCAATAGAAATAAGGCAGATTGACATTTTAAAAAATATTAATACCTTAACTTTCACAGCTCATATTTCGATGGATTTTGAGGCTATCTTGATGATTTATTATCCAAAAGAAAGCATACGATCTAAGCTTTCTTTTGAATATTAAATTATCAAGATAGCCTCAAAATTCATCGAGATATAAGCTGTGAAAGCTAAGGCATTAATTTTTTTTAAAATGTTAATCTGCCTTATTTCTATTGACGGCAGCCTATATAATTTGCAATATTCTTCTAATCATTTCAATAGACGTCGGCTACAATTACAATATCTGGAAATAGTGTTTATCCCTTGTTTCGCTCATCAGTGCAATTTAACTGTAGGAGAAATTTTCAAAGAGTCTGCAGAGTTTAAACTTGTGATGAAACAATCTATAAAAATAGTTAGCTATTTTAATACTACACTTCATTCATACTTTATCGGAAAGCTTCGAGATATACAAAAACAAATATATTCAAAATACATTACATTAATTTGCCCAGGTGATACCCGTTGGAATTCGTATTGTTATTGTTTCAAAAGCCTAATAAAATCCCGACAAGCTTTAAGGGTTAGTACTTATAATGTATTAATTTTTTTTTTTTTTTTTTTTTTAACAAGTATCTAATTTAAATAACAAAAATCAAAATTTTTAAGAATTTAGCTACTAAGTTTGAATCACCCTTCGAAATATTAACAAATGACTCTGGCAATGAAGAATCAAATCAATCTTTGAACAGTTCAGGTGAACTTTATCTCCCATAACCGATAACCACAATTCTACTAAACGATAATTTTTGGCAATCAATAATGCGATTACATTCTTTGCTTCTTCCTTATTGTGGAGCTCTTAACAAATTGCAGTCAGATACTGCACGTCTTTATAACGTGTTACAAGCTTTTGGTGGAATATTGAGAATGTGGGAGGAGTATTCAGATTATGATTTAGCTCAACGTATGATTCTGCAGTTAAAACAAAGATGGAGACAATGGGAACAACCATTACTATTATTATCTTTTCTTTTACATCCAAATATTTATATTACATGGTTTAACAGTAATAATGAAAACTTAAACTTTACATACCTAGCTCAATTCGTTACTTATTATTACAAAGCGTGGTTTGGATGCCGACCAACTCGTATCTTACTTGAGCTAGAAGAATATAGAAAACGTAGATATCCCTTTGACTTTGCCATATATGAACAATTTGAAGATAATGCGCTGCAATTTTGGGAATTCGCTTCACCTTCAACTAAAGAATTAGGTCCATTGGCCATACGCTTATTTGGAATATGTATTAATGCAGCATCTGTAGAACGACTATGGAGTTCAATGGGATTTTTTCATACTAACCGTCGTTGCCGTCTCCATGTAAGATTTTTCTTGGTTCTTAGTTTTAAAATTAACTGACTTTTTTTTTTTAAAAAAAAAAAAATAGAATGATAAAGTACTGGCTATGAGTCAAATTCATGCTTCAATTAACTTTTTTCGAGTAAAAAAACAAATTAATACTTGTGATACCATGTTCAACCAATCCAGCACATTACCTATCGGTGAAACTACAAATAAACCTACAGATAGACAAATTGAATTAAATATAGATACGGATGAAGACACTGATAATGAATCATCAGACATAACAAATGCTGAAGATTGGGAAAGTCAATTACATAACTGGGAGGAAATGCTAATGGATAAAGAGGTTGCTAGACTAGAGGAAGAAGAAGAAGAGCGAGACAATTATGATAGTTATATGGAAGGTGATTTGTTGATTAATTACAGGTATCCAGCAGTAGATGATAAAGCGAAATGGGAATTATGTGATATTTTCAGTGCACAATTTCAAAAACCAGGTTATATGAATAATGATAAGTAAGTTTTTTTGTTTTTGAATATCTTCTACTTTTTTTTGCGTGCCTTTATCTCTTCATGCATGATCATATTGATATTTATCATGGTCTATTGTTCTGACAGCAGCGCTTAGAGCCTCCTTCATAGGCAACCAACTTGTGTTATTAAATTATTGAACTCTAAATTTAACAAATATCTGCAAGTTGCGTCGAAATAAAATCTTGAAACTTTACCTCCTATTTAAATTATAGTTATTTTAAAATCAAGCAAAAAAAAAAAAAAAGAAAGAAAAAAAACTCTCCAAATACATGTAACGTAATCTGACTCAGATCTTGGAAAGAACTATGCTGGTATTAACCTGCAACACATAAATTGTAACAGATTAATGAGTATTATTATAAATAAAAGAACACTAGAAATATAAATTTATTATTAATCGTTTACCGATTAGTTTCTCTTAACCTGAGTTCTTTGTATGCTACGTACTACGTAGCGAAAGGTTTTTATAATTAAAATCACATGAAATATGTACGTTTTTTATTGGTTAATATTATTTGCTATTCGTGCATTTTTATTGGCTAATCTTATACTGGTTCCAGTGGAAAAATTCTTCCAGTGGGAAATCCCACTGGAACCACTGGAAGGCTGGAAGATTCTGGACTTCCAGTGAGATTCCAGAATTCCAGTGGCAACACTGAACTATAGAAGACTTGTAATATATACAAGTATATTTTTTTAAATACTGTATTTAATTTAATAAAAATTTTAATATTATAAAAAAGAAAATACTAACTCTTTTCAACAATTTCTCATACTAACTTTTCACCAAAAGTCTGAACTATGAAAACTAAGTCTATGTATTTATTTTTAACAAAACTCTACTAACAGCAACTAGGACTAGAGGCTATTCACTATATGTGGTCAACTAAAATAGAGTTGAAAAAGAAACGGCTCTTATAAGCGAAGTCCCCCAGTAGAAGACTAAGGTACTACCAAGCAAAGAAGTAGCAAACTCGCTCTAGAGCTTTGTCAAGCAACTACTAAAACAAGTGCAAACATAGCTACTTGAATAAATATATTGTCACTATTTAGCTTAACTTCTACAATCCTTACAAAGCTGGTATCTTCTTTCTGGCTTCTTTGGCATATCTTGCTTACTCAATCTAGCAACAAAAATTTTCATAAAAAGTAGGCAAAACAGCTTACCCCATTAAAAGATCAGCATTGTTTACCTCTTCCAAATTTAGACAACCCAGTAGATTGCAACTACATGTTTTGGTTACTAGTGAATACAGTACTATTTCATAGGTCTAGGCTCTTGGTTAAAAGAATATCTGAAAATGGTTATTTAATCAGAAAGAAATTTATACAAATTAAGGCATAGCTTTACACTAGAGATATATGAATGTTGCAATAGTATATAATTTTTTAAATCTTGGCACAGGTTATAGTAGTGCTGTCTTGGTTGTTGTATTTCTCTTTTTTTATGCTTTTTTTATCTTTTTTTAGTTATAATTGAATAGTATTTAGGTTTATTTTTCTTTGTTTATTTTCTTTTTCTTTCTCTTCTTTCTTAAATTTGTTTTGTTTTTTTTGTAAATATGGCACTTGGTTCAGTTTTTTGTGTAAAAGTAAGGAATGAATTTTTCTGCCCAGATCTAGGTAGAAAAAGTTTTAAGAAGTAAGAAATACGGCAATCTTGACAAGCTAATAGCAGGCTTTCAGTAATTTTGCGGACAAGCTCTAGTGAGTTAGAGCCCTGCGAGAGAGAGAACATGTTGTTGAGACAGATTGTACTTAGATACCTTTGATAACTGAGTGAGTCTTTATTGTGTAAGAGGTGGTAATAACTAGAAGTAATTTTAGTTTACAAATATGTAGTAGTATGTAGTATCTCTTGAATAATAAAGGCAAGATTGCCAAAAATTTAAAAAAAATAAAAAATAAAAAATAAAATACTTTTTTTTTTTTAATTAATAGTAACTCTTTCTGATAATCTCTTAGACCAACTTTTCAAAACAAAAAATTTCAGCAAAAATAGTAAAACTATATTAAAGAAGAAGGACATAAAACTAATAAGAACTATAAACTAGTAACTATTATTTAGAGATAGTTCTTATATACTATCTGCTAATAGGTTTAGAGCTTATTACTTACTATAAGGATAATATTTATTATTTAAAAGTAGTTCTTATATGCTACTTGCTAATAAGTTCAGAGTTTATCACTTACTAAAAAGAATATTAGCAGTGTGCTCAGATCTATTTGTCTTATTATTTTTGAAAAAATATATACTTTCTTTTAAAAAAAGTATAAGATTTATACTCTTTACTATTATTTACTTGTGCTTACAACAAAAAAAGTAGGCAAAACAGCTTATCTTTATTAAAAAATTAGCATTGTTTACTTTTTCCAAATTTAGTCAACTTAGTAGATTACAACTATATGCTTTGTTTGATCACAAACATATCACTACTCTATGTGATAAGATCTATTAACTAGTTCTTAATTAAAGATTTATTTAAATTCAGTTATATAGTTAGAAAGAAACTAATATATTAAAACAAAATCTTATAGTAGAGATATACAGATGTTGTATTTGTTATATAATTTTTTAAGCTTTGTATGAGTATAAATATATATCAATTCTGGTTTCTTTTTTTTTTATATATTTTTTTTTTAAAAAATCTGTATTTTTTTTTCTATTTTTTCTTTTTCTTTTG